TGCCTTAAATGGAGGGCCTGTGATCATGTGGACTTAGCCTGGCATCTCTGAACTAACACATGGCTGTCTGAGTCTCTTAAGGCACCACTTTCGCCTGACATTACAGCAATTTATGTCTACATCTGAACTCCCTTTCTGAATTATAAGTTCCAAGGAGGTGGGATTTATGTCTGATTCAACTTTGTACCTCTGCAATACCCATCCCAAAATAATGCACCTATTAGATCTCAGCAAATGCTCAGTTTCCTCCCTCCCTTCCTTCCTTCCTTCCTTCCTTCCTTCCTTCCTTCCTTCCTTCCTTCCTTCCTTCTCTCATTCATTAACTCAGCCATCCATTGCACAGGGAGCACGTACTACCTTCTAGGTTCTGGGTTGCAAGTTATTGGGCATTCAGGATGTGCAAGAATACATCACAAGAAAGACGTTTTCCAGGTCCTGCTGGCCTTTGATTCCTGCCACCTCTGTCCTGCTCCATCATATCCTCCCCGCTCGCCAGTGCCTGGGAGAGCCCCTGGCCCCTGCCAATGCCCTCCAGCCAGAGACCACTGGGGACACCCCTGCAGTTCAAGTTGGGGTTTATTACTTATTGCAGCAAAGGAGAACACACAGCATGGGGAGCCGTGGGGTATCTCAGTAAGAGGTTGCTAAGAAGGACTTACAGGATTCGGGCTTTGATGGGGTGGCTTTGGAGGGTCTGAGGAGTTGGAGGTTTGCTCTGGACTGGGTAATATCAGGAAGCGGAGACAATTCTGTGACTGAATATCTCAGTTTTATCTACAGGGAGGCAGACTAGCTGTGTTGAGCAAATAGGGACACTCATATTAGCTGGGAGAAGGAGGTGTGGATATTCTGTGGGTGGCACAGAGACCCTGTTTTCACCTCTGCTTAGGCAGCCTGTGGAGTGCCCTTGCTGGGCCTCATTGTGTTGTGGTCTCAGATGACCTCGTTTGATGTCAGAGTTCTACGATATTATATCCAGCAGAATACCGCAGTCTAGCTATGAGTGCCACGCCAGTTCCCAGAAGCTGGAAACTGTTTCTTTATTTTTATTTTTATTTATTTATTTATTTATTTTTATTTTTTAGTAGAGACAGGGTTTCACCATGTTAGCCAGGGTGGTCTTGAATTCCTGACCTTGTGATCCACCCGGCTCGGCCTCCCAAAGTGCTGGGATTACAGGCATGAGCCACCGTGCCCGGCCTGGAAACTGTTTCTTTCTTTCTCTCCATCACAGGAGTTCATTAGAGGCTTGTTGATGAACGGGAATCAGGGCTCATGACCTTAGATGGGTGTTTGGTTGTAACAGGTTTTCCATATTACCAAAAGGTGTGCAAGATTTCACGCACTTTATTTCATTTAGATAGCCCAATATCAAGCTGAGAATAACAATTAACACTTTTATTAGGTTTATGATGTGACAAGTACTATTCTAAGAAGTTTGTCCATTTTATCTCATCCTCAGTACACAATCGTGTGAAGTGCATACTCTTAGTATTCCCATTTAGTTGATGAGAAAACTGAGGCTTGAAAGTTATAAAGTAACTTGCCTACAGCCCCTCAGCTAGAAGTGATAGGGCTGACATTGAAACCCTGGTGAGCATAGGTGGCAGGTGTTGCATCAGTGTTTACTGAAACAATAAACGGAGAAGTGGGGTGACCAGTTGTCCTGGTTTATCCTGCCTGGTCCCTGTAGACACCTATGATCATGGTAGATAATTTAATACCGTTGATGATTGTTCGATTCTCAAAAGTGTGGTTTGGATGGTCAATCATACAGGTACTCCCATCAACATGCCTGTAAGAGAGGAACTATCTGTGACTTATTTGTCTTCAGTGCTCAGTGTGGAGCTAGACTCACAGCAGACACTCTTAATATGTTTGCTGACTTTAATAAGTTGTAGGAGATCAGTGGGCAAGTATTTTTACTCTTGTTTTGCCGACAAGGCTCAGAGTGGTCCAGTCATTTGTCCAAAGTCACACAGCTTGTATGGCACAGACTCTTATTCAGTGGTCTTTTGACTGTAACCCCTCACTCTGAAACTACATATCCACCATGTCCCAAATAACCCAGCCCCCACAAAATTGGTGATGATGATTATTTTTATCATATTCACATTCCAAAGGGGAATATCTTCCCCAGGCGCATTCAGAGATGTGGCTAGCGATGGGAACATTTGCAAGTAGAACAGAACTTGGAATCAATATTATGTTCTAAAACCACAATCCTGGGGAAAAAAAACATAGCGAAGAATAGGGCACACACACAAAGAAAGCTAAACCAAAAATCAGCAGGAGATTTTACAAGTCTCTCCTGGGTAACTTGTTCTTACGCAGACATTTAATTGAATGTGGACATCAAGGCAACTTGCAGTATGACTGCGGAACTCACATGGGGCCACCATGGCTGCATCAGCTCTGGGAAACCTCATTAATTTCTGAATGAGAAATGATTTCCTTTCTCGGCCACAGTCTGAGACGATGGTGTGTGGGGGATGGATTTTAAAGGACTAGGTGTTTGCATGAGCTGTGGTACTTCCCTGCCCAAGATTTTTCCCTGAAAAAGAAAGAAAGAAAGGAAGAAAGACCATAGGTCTCATCCCCTGTAATCACATTTCATCCCAGGACAGCCCTGGGAGGAAGTTCAGTCTTGTTTTCTTGACTCACCAAAGTTAGTGCCACTTGAGGGACTGAAGACAAAGTGATTTGGTCACAGTCGAGGTCACAGACCAAATTATTATTCTCATCATCTTTATTATTGGTAGAGTTATGATTTATTTAGTGCCTGCTCTATGGGACACAAGACTACACATCTTACTACATCGCCCCATGTTGCCCTGTGGTCTTTACAAGTATTATTCTCATGATAATTCTGTGAGCCATATACTTTTACCTCCATTTCATAAGAAGTGGAAATGGAGGTCCTGAGTAATTACATGACATGCCTAGGACCCCACAGTCAGCCTGAATTCGAATGCAAATAATCTGGCTCTGAAGTCTATATTTATCGTCGCCATGAGGTCATCTCTTAGGCTTCCTCAGTTTTTTTCGTATTGCCTAGAAACTGCCATATTTTTCCTGCCTGAGAGCCACACTGTCTAGCTCAAAATTCACTCATTCACTCACTCATTCATTCAATACGTTGGTCAACACACATCTCTTCAGCACTTACCATGTCCCAGAACAGAACCTCTGCTAGAAACTCAGGGACACAATTGTGCACAAGGAAATAAGATCAAATAAGATCCTCCTTGCCAAGGAACTCATGTCCTGTCAGGTGAGACATAAAAGTGACTCAGATGCCCTCAATACTAGGTAATAAATGCCTGTCCGTATGGGGTACTGAGGAGGCACAGAGGAAGGGCACTTGACTGGATGGACAGTGGTGAATACAGAGTAAGGAAAGACTTCCCGAAACTAACGATGCTTAGCCTGTACTAAAGGATGAGAAGAAAGTATTTATTTTCATACTGAAGGATGAGAAGAAAGTATTTATTTTCATACTGAAGGATGAGAAGAAAGTATTTATTTTCATACCTATCCTATTGCCAAAAGGATTTAAAGATGCTTGGCATCCAGCTCATAGTAAACAACCAGTACACATTTGGTAAATGAAGGATGGATAAAAAAATAACCTTGCACTTGTTTCCCTTTTTCCTTTGGCTGCTGGGAAGCTCAGAGCCAAAGTAGTGGCAGAGGTATAGACCCTGAAACCTTAGACTTCCTCCTTTCCTCTTCCTCTTTCTCCATTCACCCCCCACCATGGGTCTTGACTTTCATGTCATTAATTCTTTTCTACTTGCTGATTTTATAGATTATATTAATATTTGTCTTTGACTGTTTGGGCTTGGGAGTTCTCTAGAGTTGGTCCCAGATCTTATTAAAGAGGAGGCGAGAGAAATATATTCAATGCAGGACTGTTCTCCAGGTGGATCCGTTCGGCTTTGCAATCCAGGGGCAGCATCTCCCCCTTCACTTTGGTTATCCCACACATCATGTGGTCTTCATGCCCTGAGAATAACAGTGTCCTCTTTAGTTCTCTCAATGCTCAAAGCCCTTCATCTACAGAGTCCCTGCTCCCCCATCCCATCCAAAAAGCTTGCATGGTGCAATCAAGGTGCTGGCAAAAACTTTAAACAAAACAAAACCCAAAAAGCTTGCACGAGGCTCCTCCTTGTGGCGACAAATATGTTCTTGTAGAGAACCGGGCGGGCACTCTGGTCAGTGAAGCCAGCCTTGGGAGAAGGATAACTTCTAAATAATCAGCAAGTACTGTCCCCAAATGCCGTGCTAAAGACCACAGTGGCTTTTAGATCTCTTAAGGTCCCATGGCTGTGGAGGCAGAGCCAAGCACAAACCACTGCCAGCCATCCCCCAATCCCAAGTACTCCCTACACCCAGCTCTTGTAATGAATAATTAATGATGTATGTGAGCATCTGCATTGTGGCTCCCCTCTTGTTAGAAACCAGCTCTGGCCAGGCACAGTGGCTCACACCTGTCATGCCAGCACTTTGGAAGGCCAAGGTAGGAGGATCACTTGAGCCCAGGAGTTTGAGACCAGTCTGGGCAACATGTCAAGACCTCATCTTTACCAAAAATCAAAAAATTAGCCGGTGTGGTGGTGCACACCTACAGTCCCAGCTACTCGGGCAGCTGAGGTGAAAGGTTCCCTTAAGCCCAGGAGGTTGAGGCTGCAGTGAGCCATGGTCATGCCATTATACTCCAGCCTGGGTGACAGAGCAAGACCCTGTCTCAAAAACAAAACAAACAATAACAAACAACAACAAAAACAACAACAAAGCACACAGCCTTGCACACGATGTGCCTCAACCACTGTTGCCATGGTCATCACCATCATGAGAAACAGTAGAAGTAATAGTCACAGGGGCAGTGACAGTGTGGATTTTTCCCAGCTCTAGTAGGTACTTGGAAAGTGTTTGTTGATTGAATGAAGGATGTTAGTAACTCTCCTCTGCCTGGTATCCTCTCTATCTCTTCTAAGCCATGCATGGGACGTTTGTGATTCTGCTGCCGCTCAGCCTGATCCTGATGGTTTTTGGGGGGATGACAGGGTTTCTGAGCTTCCTCCTCCGAGCCTACCTCCTCCTTCTGCTCACTGGAACTCTCTTCCTCTTTGGAGGTAGGTGCCCACCCTGCCTGGCGCTCTGGCTTGTGGTCTGGGGGTTGGGCGGTGGCTACTGTGTATGAACCCTCAGCAAAGGAGGGGGATCCCAGGACCTCGTGGGGTTCATTTTCCCCTTCTGGGATATCAGTTGGAAGAGATGAGTGGTTTCCAGTCCAGAATCACTTCGTCTCTGGTTCCAAGACAGGAGCAGTGCAGAGGGAGCAGCTTCCAAGAATCGCTTTTACTGTTTCACCAAAGAAGCCGCGTATATTACCTTTGCCCGAACTCTCGATGGCTTCAAGCTTTAGGGCTGTGAGCTGGCAAGAGACCCTCGCTCCAGTCACCCTCAGGCTCCCCTGCTGATCAGCCGTTCTGATCGATACTGCTTTGATTGACTGAAAACCGGGCAGGACCAGGCTCAGAAAGACAGACACCTCATGGTCTCCTTTCTATGGAGAATCCAGAAGAGTCAAATTCACAGAAACAGAGAATGGAACAGGCTGGTGGGGCAGGGGAGCGGGGGGAGATGTTGGTCAAAGAACACACAATTTCAGTTCCAAAGGAGGAAGTCCAGTGATCTATTGGGCATCACGGTCACATCACGTTAACAACAGCCTATTGTGTTCTTGAATATCGCTGAGAGTAGATTTTAGTTCTCACCACACACAAAAGAAATGCTAAGTATGTGAGGCCGTGCCTGTGTTGAATAGCTTGACTGAGCCGTTCCACAGTGTGCACATGCGTATCAAACCCTTGTGCCATGCACCGTAAATACATACAATTTTTACTTGTCAAGTAAATAGCAGCACACCCGAAAACAAGATGAAACAAAACAACAGGTGGACAGACATTGGCTAGGTTCACACCATTGGTCGGTTCAGTGGACCAGAGGTTTTGAAAAATGGGGCCTTGGCCGGGCACGGTGGCTCACGCCTGTAATCCCAGCACTTTGGGTGGCCGAGGTGGGCGGATCATGAGGTCAGGAGATCGAAACCATCCTGGCTAACACGGTGAAACCCATCTCTACTAAAAATATAAAAAATTAGCTGGGTGTGGTGGTGGGTGCCTGTAGTCCCAGCTACTCGGGAGGCTGAGGCAGGAGAATGGTGTCAACCTGGGAGGCGGAGTTTGCAGTGAGCCGAGATCATGCCACTGCACTCCAGCCTGGGCGACAGCGAGACACCGTCTCAAAAAAAAAAAAAAAAAAAAAGTGGGACCTGGCACATGGCTGGCTGCCTTACGGCTCCTTGTATCCCTGTGTATTTGAAATGTTCCTTAAAAAAAGAAAAAAAAGCAGTGATGACATGCACCCTTGGAATCCACAGAGGGAAAAAAGCAAAAGGGATGTCTGGAGGTGAAAATATTGCAAAGCTCTCATTTCCTCTAACCACTCACTATTATTATTAATACTAGCTTTCATAGTTCACCCAATGACAAATTCTCAAAACCAGCACTGCCTGGTAGAAGTTTCTGTGATGGTGGAGAAGTTCCCTAGTCCGTGCCGAGCATCGGGAGCTGCAAACCAGGCCAGGGCCGCGAGTGCTGATGGGGGACTGAGCTGTTAACTTTATTTAATTAAATTTAAATAGCCATGTGTAACTGGCCAGTAGCTATTGTACTGGACCATGTGGCTCAAATCTAATATCTGTGGAAAACCACCATGGGCCAGGCACCATTCTAGGTGCTGGGGAATTGAAAATGAGCAAAACCAACACGAGCATGTCTGCCCTCTGGAAACTCATGGGAGACAGATGTTAGTTAAATAATTACACAAACACGCCTGCAATCCCAGCACTTTGGGAGGCTGAGACAGGCAGATCACTTGAGGTCAGGAGTTTGAGACCAGCCTGGCCAATATCGTGAAACCCTGTCCCTACTGAAAATACAAAAATTAGCCAGGCGTGGTGGCAGCACCTATAGTCCCAGCTACTCAGGAGGCTGAGACAGGAGAATAGCTTGAACCTGGGAGGCGGAGGTTGCAGCGCAGCAAGCTGAGATTGCACCACTGCACCACCGCATTGGGCGACAGAGCAAGACTCTGTCTCAAAAAAAAAAAAAAAAAAAAAAAAGACACAAACGAATGCAAAGTTGCAATTGTGACCTGGGCAGTGATGGGCAGCTGTATGTGCTGTGGAATCACTGCTCAGGCAAGTCCAGGAATCGAAGGCTGAGCTGCGATGTGCGGGGAGGGTAGGAGTTGTCCGTGACAGGCAGAGAAGCAGGGGTGAGTGCATCTAGTGGGGAGACCAGCAGGCGCAAGGGTCCTGCGGCAGGAAGGAACGAGGACGCTGGACATCGGGCAGCGTGGCTGGGCAGGGCGAGGAGGAGGAGGGGAGTGCTGGGGCGGGGTGGGGGTTGATCTGCTCTCCCTTTGCCCTCCCTGCAGCCATGGTGACCCTCGCTGGGATCAGCGTCTACATAGCATATTCAGCTGCCGCCTTCCGGGAGGCGCTGTGTCTCCTGGAGGAGAAGGCCCTCCTGGACCAGGTGGACATCCACTTCGGCTGGTCCCTGGCCCTGGGTTGGATCAGCTTCATCGCGGAGCTGCTCACTGGGGGGGCCTTCCTGGCAGCGGCCCGTGAGCTCAGCCTGAGACGGAGGCAGGACCAGGCCATATGAGCCTGGGCGCTGGGTCATGAAGGGGAGGAAGGCGTTTGGTCCCGGAGCTTCATGGACCCATCTTCATGGGCTGCGGCCTCCTCTTCCTCAAAGGCCACTTGGGGAGGCCAGGCACCCCCCCGTCCCCCACAAGTCCCCGCGGACTAAGCTCGGGGCCTGGCTGTTATCCTAGTGCCTGTGTGCTCATGTCCGTGTGTGTCCGTGTGGCCTGGAGGAGCCTGAGGGAGTGCCAAACCTCTTTACAAGAAATAAAAACGATGCTTTAATCACACACAGAGTTTTACAGATTGCAAAGTCCTTGCGCCCCGTCCGACTTCATTTCCTTCTCACCCATGTCCCTTGGATCAGCTCCTTGGTGGACCTGAGAAAGGGAGAGGGTGCGCTACCTCCTGGGCCCTGTGGTGCATTGAGCTCTCTCTGGGGAGCTTTGGCCTGGAGTTCCTTTGGCTCTAAAATACTCTGGCATGACATTGGCTTTCTGCAGGGTCGGGTTAGGTCTGCAATGTGAAGCTGCAAGACTCCCAAGAGGCTGGCCAATTGATGGAGCGCTCTTCAAGACTAACCATACCTTTTCCGTCCTCCCCCAGAAAAATCCCATCCTCCTTTCATCCTGGTGTTCTGCCCCTGGGAATGGGCGCCACCTCCAGGTCCTCTGGGGCAGTGCTGTTCCCATTGAGCGTGCCCGAGACTCTATGGGCTTGTTGGTACTCACGGGCTGATGCCACCCCCAGGGTGTCTGAGCCAGGAGGACTGGGTGAAGCCCAAGAACTCACATTTCTTTCTTTCTTTTCTTTCTTTTTTTTGTTTTTGAGATGGAGTCTTGCTCTGTCACCCAGGCTGGAGTGCAGCGGTGCAATCTCGGCTCACCGCAAGCTCCGCCTCCCGGGTTTACGCCATTCTCCTGCCTCAGCCTTCCCGAGTAGCTGGGACTACAGGCGCCCGCCACCTCGCCCGGCTAGTTTTTTGTATTTTTTAGTAGAGACGGGGTTTCACGGTGTTCGCCAGGATGGTCTCGATCTCCTGACCTCGTGATCCGCCCGTCTCGGCCTCCCAAAGTGCTGGGATTACAGGCTTGAGCCACCGCGCCCGGCAGGAACTCACATTTCTAACTAGCTTCCAGGCGACACTGAGGCTTCTGGCCCAGAGCCACACTTTGCATAAATGCTGAGGTGGGGTGTTTGTTAAGTGACAGAGAAGGGTTGTCACCTTGCTGCTCTTAGAATCACCTGGGTGATTCCCAAAATCCTGCTGCTCTGGCTACATCCTTGATCTGATATTCTCTAGGGATAGTGTCCAGCCATCAGTGTTTTTTAAGAGCTCTCCAGGCTATTCTAACCCAAAACCATAGCTGAGATTCTGTTCCTGTAAGATTCCAAGTCATGAGATGTAGGGAAGGGCCCGGGGAGCCTTTGGCTTGGGAAACTCTGAGAGGTGCTGACGGTTTGGGGAATACTGATGTGGATTAAAATATGACAACAGCATTATCAACAATATGACATCATCATCTTCATCATGACATCATCACCACCATGACATCAGCATTGTCATCATCATAGCTGACACCCACTGAGTACTTTCTATGCACCTGTGCTTTTCTCAATGCCAGTCGGTCAGTCAGTCATTCAACAAACACCCAAAGGAAGGCCAGTACACACCAGCAACTAGGGGGCAGTGACTCCTCCAGACCCAGCCCTTGCTGTCTGGGGTGCCACATGGTTGAGGAGAGAGAGGCATATGAAATATGTAGCCCGGGATGAGGACTAGGAGATAAGCAAAGCAGGGTACAGATGAGGAAACTGAGGCACCAGCAGGTTAACATAGCTGGACTAAGGGGTTAAGGAGAGAAAGGGATGCAACTGGGAGTAAAATTCAGAACTGCCTGATCCCAAGATGGTCCTCCCTGGAGTCCCACCAACACCTACACTTCTTTACTGGCTGTCTGCTCCTGGGTTCAGGACGTTGCTGCGACATCCCTGTCTCATCTGGAAAGGCGCAAATGAGTGGCTTGCTCACATGGCGGGGCTAAATAAGCGCTATTGGAAAATCAGTTGCTAGGCTGAGAAACTTTTTGCAAAGTGAGGGCAACCATGCTACCGAAAGGGCGGTCTCTGCTTCCATCTGCTGGTCATATTCTGGAACTGCTCCAGAGGCAAGATTTGATTCCCAAATTCAAAAAACACGTGTTCAGCACTCCTAGCGCCCAGGTGCTGGATTAAA